AATTTAAAATTTGAATTTTTCAAACGACCTCGGAATCTCAGATGGAGAAACAACAAAAATGAAAGTTTTAGATCCCAAAAAGTTATGAAACTTTGTTGATTACAACATTTTCATTTGAATTTGTTTAGGGCCTCAAACAATAATTTTTTTTTTTTTTGTTTTTTGTTTTTTTTTGTCTCGAATTGTGATTTTTGGAATTGGGCCAAAATATTACTTCTTGCCTAAACGGCCCAATCCTCTATAATCCTAGCTAAGCTAGCTGGCCCAATCCTCTATATGCTGCTTTTACTCAATATCCGAATAGATATTTGTATCCGACCTTCTCCGAATTCGATTCATACCGTATTCGATACTCATTATTCGTATCCGTAACCGAGTCAATCCGTATTCGTATATGTATCCGAACGTTATCCGTGTCCGAATCCGAACAGAAATATGAAAACAAATATAATATGAGTGATATCCGTTCATATCCTATACAAACATTTAGTTTAGGGGTTTTTTGAGCCGGACCATTACAATTTTCGAAGTTTGGAGATACGCCGTTACAATTCACTTATTTCGAGAACTGCCATTATAATTTCTTCTCTACCTCATATGTGCCATTTTCTACGTCTCCTGCCTACATGGGCCCATTGTCAGGTATGTATGTGTACATGAAAGCGTATACACGTTAAGTCGCAACCTCTTCTCGTAGAGGTGCCCGTGCTCCTTCGTCGGTTTCCGGCTTCTGTTCCAGCGGCGGCACCGAACTCCCAGGTCCCAGAGGAAGAAGATGGGGTCACCGGTCTCGGGGAAGATAAGACCAGCGGGAGGGGGTCTCCTCGCTGGTGATGGGGCTCCGCAGCGGCGTCGGGCTCGGCTCCGGCCGTGGCACGGGCGAGGGGACGGGGACGCCGCCGGGCGAGCTTGGATCCGGCCATGGCACGGGCGAGCTCGGTCCCAAAGAGGGCGGCCACGGCCACAGCAAGGGTGGGCTCCGGCCATGGCACGGCGAGGGGACGGGGGCGCCGCTGGGCGAGCTCAATCCCAAAGAGGGCGGCCATGGCCATGGCAAGGGTGGGCTTCGGCCATGGCGCGGGCGAGGGTATGGGGACACCGTCGGGTGAGCTCAGCTCCAGCCATGGCGTGGGCGAGCTCTGTCCCTCCGCGGGCGAGCTCAGCCCCGGCGGCGGCTCGGGCGGCCCTGACGACGGCGAAGAAATCCTCAGTCCATGGCGATGGCTCTGGTGGCCCCGATGGTGGCGCAGGAATCCTTGGTCCATGGTGTTCATGGCGTAGGAAGCCCCAACAGCCTCGACGGCGGCATAGGAACGCTCACCAGGGCGGCCTCTGCGCAAGCCGCACCGTCCAGGAAACGGACGACGTTCTGATGGCGGCTTTCTGGATGGTGGCGTTCACAAGGAAGGTAGGAAGCGGCCGACGATGCGTGGACGAGCCGGGATGGGTTGGCTATGGCCGGCCAGAGGCGCGCGACGCAGTGGATGAAGCTGCCATGGGCGAGCGCGGCCGCTCCGCCTCGTGCGCAGGCAGCTGCCGCTGCGGGCGAGTGCTCTTCCCTGCGGGTATCATCTTCCCCGAGACCGGCAACCCTGTCTTCTTCCTCTAAGTCCAACGCCATCGCTAGCCGGAGTAGACGGACGAGCGCGGGCACGTCTAACGAAGGAGCACGGTACTTAACGTCCATATGCTTTCCTGTACGCATTAGTCCGTGACAATGGGTCCATGTATGCGAGAGGCGTAGAAAATGGCATGGACGAGGGATAGATGAAATTATAATAACAGCTCTTTAAATAGGCGAATTGTAACGGCGTATCTCCAAACTTAAAAAAAATGTAATGGCTTGGTTCAAAAAACCCTTTAGTTTAGGACAATGAGCTTTTATTTCAAGACTACCAGCCTAGTGAAAAGACAGACAAATGTTGTGCGGTAGGATACAATTCCATATCTAAATAGACGTCACAAAAGCAAAGAAGAAGAAGAAGAAGAGAAAAAAAAACGATGTCATAGTTTGTATACAAACCTGACGACTTGCTAACTTTTTAAGATAAAATTTACAGGCAAATCTGAAGCCTTGCTCATTTTTGCAAATAAAATTTACAGGCAAACAGAGCGAGAATTTCGAACCTCCAGGTGTTTTTTGACAAAGAAAAATTGACAAAAAACACATAAAATTTACAGGGAAACATAAAAACTACCAGGAACACCCGTGAACATAGATCTAGCAGAACAAAACCAGACTAGAATACAAACAGTAACTGAAGATGCATGGTAAAAGCGATAATTTGACGAGATTAAAGTCCTCTTTGGTTGGGCTTCCCAACCTGTTTTTGCTTTCTCAAAAGCCGTCAGTGGAGGTGGGCAATTTCGAAAAATTACCCACCTACCACTGGTTATGCAGGATACATACTCGTTTTTCTTCTTTCTTTTCTCCTTCGCGACACCAGAAACGCTGCATCACGTGACTCTCCGCATCCGCGGCTAGGGTTTTCCCGACCTACCGACACCCCGCCGGTCTTGACTTGCCGGTGTCGCCCCGTGGCCACCTGCGGCCCCGCCGGCACTGACCCAAGGATGGCCGCAACAGCAATCCCCAAGCCGGCCTCCCACCGGCAGCTCGCCTCCGAGGCCGGCCGCCTGTGGGATCTAGGCTAGGATATCGTCGGGTGCGGCCGCTGTCGCCGCCGTCAGAGTCGCTCGGGGCTAAGAACAGGGGCAAGCTCATCGTCGTAAGCTTCCTCTACCTGCATCATCAGAAACCTATCTCTATCATATCATCATGCAGATGTGTGGTGTGACGAAATGGTTGTGTCATTCACTTGTTCTTCGTCTGTGGCTTCAGGCTATCTTAGCGAGCTTCACCAAACGACACCTACCATCGTTCATGTACGAGTCCCTCAAGAACGAGCTAAAAGCATGGCCTTCGAGCCATGACCATGAGCACACAAGTCTGGGCTGTCCATGCACTCCCTTGCTTGTAGCATGTTCGAGAAGCCCAGCACTTGATGTAGCTGACCATCAAGACATCGTGCTTTGCTTACCCATTGCCCTCCGGTATACAAGGCTGGGCATGGGCTCCCATAGAGAAGGGGTCGAACATCGAGCCTTTGATCGGATCCCTGACCGAGTGATCAAACCGTAGACAGTAGTATAGGGCTTCCCCAATACCTCTCTCTATTGTAAGAACTTGATTGAGCATTCCTAACACGAAAAACACCACTGCTAGACGTAGGGTTTAGACGGCCAAACTAGGATAAACCTCTTATGTTTTGAGTGCTTAAGCCACCGGAGACTCACGCATGGACCCATGTCAAACAAAAAGATTGTTGTCGCGGAATCGAACCCTCACTCAAAAAGAGTAGACGGGAGGCTGGAGACACTGAAGTGTTAGCGGGTGGCTATAGATGAGCACACCACTTACCGGCCGGAGAGATCGACGACGCGTCCAGACAAGCTAGGTCTACGTTAGAGAGACCAGTGGATCGGCAGTGCGTCATGATGGCAGAGTTGAAGCCTCCCTTACGAGTGACTCAACTGTGTAGATCTGGAATGAAATCACAGATGCGGCTCCCCTTACCACAGAGTTTGTGAGGTCTCTCCTTACCGCAGACATGTTTTAAAAAAGCGAGTCTGAGAGTACTTTCAAGATATCAGAGACGCGGGGCATCGAGCACGTGTCTGTGATATCAATCACAAGTACAGCTGAGTCTTTACAACAGGTGCATATGATATTATAACTTTTCACAGATGCGCTTTCTCCAAACGCATCTCTGATAACTCAGCTTGTTATTGGAGACATAGGTTGTATAACACACGTCTGTGATATTATATCTAACTACAGATGTGCTTTTCTCAAAACATGTCTGTGCACTACAAGAAATGAGACATCTTTTGACATTTGATATATGTCATAATACCTGAAAAATATGTCATATGTCTCCATTTTTGACACCAAGTTGACGCAAAATCAAATCTGATAACTCAACATGTTATCAGAGACATGTGCAGTAAACGCGTGTCTGTAGTAACGTGTCATCACAGACGTGTCTAGTTCCCTGCTGATCCTTTGGCCACGGTTGATAGAATACTCGAGACGTGTGGTAAATAGATGCGTCTGTGATTTGTTATTACATACGCGTCCCAATTTCGTGTCTGTGGTATGGGTGTCTTCTTTTTGCAGTTTTGACAAAGTGGTTTGTGTACTTATATTGAACCAATATCTATGTGTTGTGTGGTTGATGCGCCAACCTAATGATGGATGTTTATGCACCGATAAGGGGCATTATATACTACTAAATATATATGGTTCCCACATGGATGATTTGCATTGTCCCTAATAGTACATATAGCCTCAAACCACTAGTTGGTAAAGTTTTTTTTTTTCTTAAATACATAACAGAGCTGTGTATCATTATATTGCATTAAGAAGAAAAAAAGAGAGTACAAAACACACAAAAAACACCAAACACGCTGTCACTCAAAAAGAGTCAGCAATTTTTTTTTTCAAATTCAATCAGTCGTAGTCGGTATAAACTTATAGTGACGGTATACTTTCACCTATTTATAATTTTGATCGGGAAAGATATATACTAACTGATGATTAGTCACTATAGTCTATAGTGGCTTTTACTGACGCCGTGGGGTTGTCGATTTTGGGCCGTGGTATAGTGATGACGATGAGTTCATAATTTGGCATTGTTCGGTTAAAAAAAAGTGAACACTACCCAATTCAATTTCAACCTTGACTCCATAGACAATTGCGTACATGCACACAACAAAGAATCCCCCTGTCACATACAGCTGATGGCAGTAGGTTCCCTAAAACTATGTATAGAATTATACTCTATCATCACATACAGTATGCACGCTTGAGTATGAATACATTTCTGATGCCAATCCCACACTCAACGAACCAATGATTTGCACCCAGCTCCGAGAGAAGAAGAAGAAGAAGAAGAAGAAGAAGAAAGAAGGAATTCACATGATCTGGGGAACGAAGATTAATCCTCCGGCAGGTTATTTAATGCATGGACCATGACCTGCATCACTCTGAGCTGCATCTGGAGGCGCAGGATGTACCCGGCGGTGTGCAGGAGGAGCTCGTCCAGTCGGTCCCCACCAGACTCCTGGCCGACGACCCCGCCGTCGTCTCCGCAAAGTGGCACGAGCCTCCTCAGCGCTTCCATCTTCCTCCTGATCGCCATCACGCGCTTCCTCGACGCTGCCGCCCTTGGGCGTTTGCCGCCGGCAGCCTTCTTTCTTATCTTTCTCGCCTTCATGAGCGACGCCAACGGCCTTGTCAATTTCAGGCGCCTTGTGGCCACCGGTGCAGCAGTGCCGGCAACGGCATCGCAGCAACTCTGAGCAGCCATCTGGCCGGCGGCAACGAGGAAGCTAACTTCAGCTTTCCAGGTAGAGACGAGTATGTAGGAGGTAGCGCAGTGGACAATTAATGTCAGAAGAAGGTAACAGCGCGAGATTAAGGGAGCAAGGTCTGATGCTTATATAGATTAGATGCCATGTGCGTGCGTAGTTGGGGGGCACAGGTAATCTAAATAAAGCAGATCAAATAGGAAAACAAGTAGTAGCATGCATACATATCTGTTTATTGTTAAGTCGTGTGGATATGGTGAACAGCTAGCAGCAGGGCGGAAACAGGGGAGCAGCACGCTGATGCGCGTACGTAAAGAGATCCAGGTCACGTTGGGTAGCATCCTGCGATATCTCAAGAGCACGAGAGGTGTTTGCTTGAGCGCCCAGGAAGCCGCAAGGTCCGGGCATATGCCGCATGTTCTCCTAACTCGAGGCCACATGTAGCCACATGCCCGCGCGCGCGCTGACGGCTCATTTCACGCAACATGCAGCGCGCAGCCTCCCGGCCAGCCGGCCCCGGCGACCACACGCCACTCGTCGGCCACTCGATCCGGCCGCCCGATCGAGCTGCCGAGCATATGCGTGCGCGCGTGCCCGCACCCTCTTTTCCTCGTCGAAACGCGCTGTCGGATTCGCGCCCCCGCGCATATGCAGAGTGCCAGTGCACTGCAGCCACCGCCCGGCCGGCACATGATCGGATCCACACCCACTGGCTAGCTAGCGAGGCATATGCGTTTGCTGACATGCATCCATGCCAATCGATCGCCGGCTTAATTGAGTGGTTGGGGAACAAGAGAAATGTAGCCGCCGTTTGCTTTAGCGAGCGTGGCCGGCTGGCCGCATGAGCTAGCCCTCTCGCTCGGCCCTTTCACTTTCTTCATGCGTTGTGCGTACACCGGTACACGTTATTTTCCGGCGGCCGGAGATCCACATGCCACATGCTCGCTGCCGACGCCCATGCATGCCCCGGCGGTGCGGCGTGCCTGGCAATGACGATCGAGCTACCTCCCTGAAGGTTCATTCATCCGTTCGAGTTCGAGCCCACCGGTTTTATTTTTTAACAGTTATTATTTACCTAGCGGTATATGTATATCCATTAATTTGCTATGGTGAAACTCTAATTAGTTTTTTTTAAAAGTCATTCTCGGTTGCCTGCATAAGGCTCAAAGCATACTATAACACTCTAAAAATCATTTCCATAAATAGTAGTAAATAACTTTGCTTGTTTTATTTAATTTTCCATGATTTATTTAGGTCAAATAATGATTTTATGAATTTAAAATTAAATATAAGGACCACAAACATTCTTGGTTGTATTCATGCCGATGCATAATATTTTGTATGAGGGTAGGGGTAGTTTTTGTGTGGCTCTAAATTCAAACTAAATTTGAATTGGAGAAAAATTTAAATAAAAAACAAAGAAAGGAAAGGACCTTTTGTTCTCTCTCCGTCCTTTTGAGCCCAAACAGGTAAACCCGCCTAGCCTTCCCTGATCTCCTTTTCTTTTTCCCACTGACGCTTCTTCGTTCTGTAAATGTCCAAGGCAGTGGACATCAAGAAAGCGCCACTCCAGCCGCTCCCCTTGCCTCGGTGGCCATAATAGAGATCACCATGCCCGTCTACTCATAATCAATCAGAATCGGTACATACTTGTTTATGTTTTGGAAAATGTTAGAGTCAAGTGAAAGTCTATCTTATTATTTCGCTAAGAAACAAAAATAAAGTTGTGGCCAAAGGAAAGTTAGTGACTGCTGACAACACACGAAATGTTGGCGGAACCGTTCGTGGGAATCAATTTGTTGGGGTTTGTGTTGATGACGTTGAAAATACTGGCAATGGAAACAATTGAGATGAGTTGTTACCTGGACCATGCTTTGAAATTGAAACTGTGAAAGATGCTATTGGCTTTGTTACTGTTTGGCCCCGTTCACATGTAAGTCTTCTCTTTTTTTAACCAAAGACTTTACAATTTTTAAATTTCTTGAAATTATCTGTTTAACTAAACACACGACTTGTAGTAGGTTAAAAGAGCTAAGATTTTAACTCAAACCCACATGACCTTGGTATGGTTCAGCTTCAAATGTTAGATCTCATTGGTTAAAATTGTCCTATTTAATCTCCTCTTATTTTGTAGCGTGGTGGAACCATGTGACTTGATGTAGATGGAAATGCAAGCTACAAGTAAATGGAAGCATGTGACTTGATGTGGATGGAAAGGCAAGCTACAAGTTTGGTGTGAACAAGATAGATTTTAGGTGTTAGAGACAAATTTATATATATTTGTTTGATATCGTCACTTTTCCTATGCTTCTTGATGAACATGATTGTCTTGTAGAATGCAGTTTAATCTATTATTTAATCATTATCTTGGTTCGTAAAGATAGAATGGATTTTAGCAATGCAATTTATGATTTACTTTCTCATTATCAAATCGCAGAAATTAGTATAAAAATCATTTACATTCAGTAAAAAAATATATTTGTTTCTAATACTAAGAAGACGTTACTATAAAGTGTATCTATATTAACAGTTATGTTATATAGATGCATCTATGAAAGTGTACCTATTTTTGTTAAGACGTACTAAAATATTACAATACAACATATTTATATTATTAGACACTAATATGAAATTGTCTTTACATTTTCTTGACACGCAACATGGTGTACCTATGCAATGTATCAAAATCAGTACACACGCCATATAAACGCATCTATCAAAACGTCGCTATACTTCTTGATATACAATAAGGCATCACTACATAGCGTGGCTAAGTAGGTGCACATGTAACACAAATGTATCTATGAGAGCGTCTCTGCATTTCTTAACATATAATAAAGCACAGTGTCGGCCTCTCAATTTGAGAATCCTCGGTGCTTCCGTATTTGCGTCAGGATCACGCATAAATACGCACTAATCACAGAGATGGTATACAGATATATTATAAAAAGGTTCCGAGCTTTATTGATATCTAAAATAAGGTCTACAACAGTGGCCCGAAGGGCATTGTCATAGGCTACAGAGTTGGTAGAAAGCTACGGCCGGGAAACGACATTATTGGTGGTCTCTAAAGCAGGATTATTATACAGTGAAATGGCATCCTATTCCATAGGCAACTAGAGCGTAGATGAAACCCTAGCCTCGAAGTCACATTCCTACGATCGAATCTCTTAACGTGAATCCTATTCCTCACGGTACGCTTTATCTTCAAAGTCATAGTGTTTTTCTATGCCAAGGTCTGTGAGTTGACAACAGGTGAGTACATACGTACTCAGCAAGCCCCAACCATGGGTGGAAACAGAAGTGCAGTGGTGATTATAATTTAAGGGTGAGTCCTAGCAGAGTATTACCATTCCCACTAGTGCATAGGTTAATCATCAATTACTTACCAGTTTCATTGCACATAAAAGTAAAGCTAATCATAGTATCCCATCCTAACATTTGCCCATTCCAAGGACGTGGCTATGAATAGATTTAATAAAACTCTGCAGAGGTGTATAAATTTCCCCACACGATAGGTGCAACCTCATCCATGATCAGTGGACAAAATAAACCTAACGAGATCCCATACCCGCTTGGAAAGCTCACCTAGATTTCTATATAATCTCTACCATGGTTTCATAGGGGTTGGAACACAAAACCGGGAAGATACCGAATCCCCCCAAACGTGATGATACCAAATCATCACAAAAGAAAAACATGGTTCGATCACGACCAAGAAAACAGTGGCTCAAACATGGCCTAAATACCTAACGCTTAATGTGGAAGATCACATAGCATCCACGCCAACCAGACACGGAAGAAAACCTATCCCCCGTGCCGGCTCCTGATCTTCCGTTGCCTACACCGACCTCCTAATAGAAACTATACTTCTATCTAACAGGGTGTGGGATCAAGCCTACCAATATAGATATGTGGCTATACGAAAAGACTCACTAGGCAAGAGGGACTATGAACCGGTCCTTATGTGACCGAGGCGAGTATCTCCCACAGAAACCCTATCTAGGCATTCTTGCCATGATAAACTACCTCCATAGTTTACCACCACTCGCCCCATGTCGGGGTTTAGTTTAGGTTTAACAAATTTTAAGTTCAATTATTATCCCTAATTCTAATCATGATGTGGAGCTCATAGAATAACAAGATAACCATTTATCTTAAATATATCGCATCAACCGAGCTCATTTTCTAGGGTGATAGTCTCATAGCCAAGTTTTAACATTTTAGGGTTTTTAAAGCAAGATGGTAGGGATGGGAGATAGGGCTTGCCTTCGTTGTCGTCACCTTTCGGCACATCTACGTAATTCGGGTCTTCGTCCTCCTGGCGATTATTGTCGTTTGTCGGACGTATCGGTCGCATAAAACTACCGCTATCCGCAAAAGAAAAAGGACCCAAGCAAACATAGAACTATATGGTGGCACTAAGTGCATATGGTAGGGTTTGATTTTAGATGATTTTTAGAAGTGGTTTGATGCAAATCGGAGTTATGGTTTAAAAGTTATGAATTTTAGAAGTTTATCCAATAACTAATTATTCCAGATGGAATTTTATATGTATTCTCTAGTGCATGAAAATTGGTGCAAACTACTTAATTAATTTCCTTATTTCATCTAGTTTATTTACAAATTTTCTAGGAATTTTTCTAAGCTAGGAAAATGTATTTATAACACTCGTGTACACTATCCGAGTGTACCCAACGTTTTCTTAAGCGTACCCCGCGCTGTGCGTGTGTGTGACAGGTGGGTCCCGTGCTATCATCAGCAGTGACGGCGGCGTAGGCGTTAAGGCCATGGGCCCGTGTGTCAGTGAGAGAAGGAGGGAGAGAGAGAAGACGGAGGGGGACGGTGACGTCATTCCCTTCTGGTCCCACCTGGCGGGGACAAAGAGGAGGGGGAGAGGGGGACGGCGATGGTTGGCGGTGACCGTGCTGGCGACGAAATAGGGGAGGGGGAGCAGGGCTCGCCGGAGTGGCTTATGCCGGCGGCGTTGGCCCTTGGG